GAAATGAGCCCCTATGTAACCTTACCGTAATTACATCGCACACCAACATTCTTGTTCCCCTCGGTGCTTGGAAACTCCCTAGTTACAAATTCTGTAGTTATCTGTACACTTTCACAACTAGATATTGTGCCAAAAAATGTAAATCAAACTGTACGGCTTATATAATTTCTGCCTTCATTTACTCCCTGCTCACTCTGTTCGGGGCCGAGAGTTCTTTGAACACTAGTCCACTCTCGGTTGCAGGCTATTAAAGGACTCATAATCTGATTCTTGGTGTGTTGGTGTCTCCTTTCTCGCACTCTGGTCACAATAATCCCAAACTGAAACTCTGTACCCATTAAACACTGGTTCCCCAATCTCTCTTTCCTCTGCCCCTTGCACTCAACATTTTGCTTTCTGCCTCTATGAACTGACACTCTAGACACTTCATGTAAGTGAAATCATACACTATTTCTTTTTTTGTAGCTCGCTTATTTCACTTAGCATGATTTTCATTTCCATAAGGATGAATGACATGGAATATTTTTTCATCTGACCGGTGTATTAACTTTAAATACAGCGTTTCTCAAGCTGAAAATGCTGGTGTTCTTCTACTAAGAAACACTATCATAGGGAATAAAATTTAATATAATTACAGGTGCCTACAGGTTTTTGACAATTATAAAATTCAAGATCCATGAAATGTGACTACCCTTTCTCATTCTTTTACATTTCATGTTGTTAAAAAAGATCACTGACTCGATTCGTATTAGTACTGGTTTATGAGCTCTTAAATCACTTGACGGCAAGGAGCATTTTATCAGTGGAGAATGCTACATACATGTTAATTTTATAGTTGTTCAAGCTAACACATAAGTTTTACTTTTCTTAAAAGTGACCACACACATTTAGTTCCCTAAATATCTAACAGTGTGGCTTTCAAAATGTCATCAATCAATAAAAGAAATGAATAGCAGACATTATTTTAAAGAAACAAAGAAATAAATCTTATCATTCCTCTTGTAATATGTTACTAAAACAAACACTCTGTAGCTAAACCTTATTGCAGATTATACATTTATGAACTTTCCGATAATACTTTTTACCTTTTCTTTAGTTTATCTTCCAGATAACCAATCATTATGCACAGAAGCTAAAAATACTGTAATTTCAACAACTGTCATCAATCAGAAAATCAATAAAGGAATCAATGTCTTTAGTATCTGCCATCACAGAATGCAACTAATTTGGTCATAAAACCTCAGGAGCTGATATTTATTAAGTTACACGAACACATTCACAATACTGTTTTACGACTCCTGATAATATTAAAGTTTATCTATAATTTTACTTTGGAAATCTGTACTTTTGATTTTACATTTTTATAGAACTGAAACAAAGCAGTCAAAAGGTTTGTTTGCTCACTGTCATCTTTATTTAGGTTGTGAACAAGAAAAGAAGAGAAGGGAAAAAAAAAAAAAAAGCCTTAATCCACACTGCAATTATTCACTCAGTTCCTAACCTCTGCTGACATCTGGGCTCACCGGAGTGAACAAGTAAATGTTAACAGGAAAGGGAAAGGAAAGGGAAGAGAAAGAAGAGGAGGAGAGGAAGAAGCTGTGGTTCCTGCCCTCATGGAGTGTATAGTCTAGAATTAATTAGTAGCTGAATAATGGCTGGCTTGACAGGGAAACAAACAGGTTTTGGCAATGAACAAAAGTTATCAGGTGCAGCCAAGCTCTAGATCTGAGGGTCAGTGAGACCTGAGAAACAAGGGGAAGATGTGAGAGAAAAAAGGAGATAATGTTAACAAGGGAGAGATATGGCAATCAGCACCCAGATAGAATTCAAATTTAGCATCACTACTGGTGGGACAACCAGCCCTAGGCTGTGAGGTGATAGAAAGTAGTCAGGATCGCTCATGGTGTGTTCTTGCCAAAAAAGAATTAACTGGAATTTAATCAGGTCTCTAGAGCTCAACTTAGTTTATAGGACATAGAGGTCATAAAAGAACATGTTTAAAAAAAACCATAATGAAATAATCTGACAAATCCAGAATGTGAGACATTCTACAAAACAAATGTCCTGGTCTATTAATAATCCAGTTACTATTATTTTTTTTTTTTAAGTAAAGGACAATTCAGGTTAGAAGAGCAGATTAAGAAGCATAACAGGCCGGGCTTGGTGGCTCCGTCTGTAATCCCAGCACTCTGAGAGGCTGAGGCGAGTGGATTGCCTGAGGCCACGGGTTTGAGACCAACCAAGAGCAATTTGGTGAGACCTCGTCTCTACAATAAATAATTTTGAAAAAATTAGCCAGGTATGGTAGCACATGCCTGTAGTCTGGCTACTTGGAAGCCTGAGGAGGATAGATCACTGGAGCCCGGCAGGTTGACGCTGGGGTGACTGTGAGTGTGCTTGGGCAACAGAGTGAGACTGCAACTCAAAAAAAAAAAAAAAAAAAGCATAACAATCAGGTAGTCTTTATTGAATCCTGGTTTGAAACAAAAAAAAAAGGCTTTAAAAGACATTGGTGAGTAAATTGGGAAAATTGGATATGGATGGTGAAATCATTAATAGAAAATACTGTCAATTTTGTCATTTTGTCAAGGGGACTAATGGCACGAAGTCTCTATAGAACAAATGTCTTTAGTTTTTGAAGAAACAAGCTGAAGTATTGGTAAAATGTTGCAATGGCTGCAATTCACTTGAAACATACATGGCCCAGTGCTTAAAAACCTCTGGATATCAGGGGTGGGTACATGTGTATTCACTGTAATATGCTTTCTACATATTCAAAAATGTTAGTAATAAAAAACCTCAATAAATGAATAAATCTGAGAAAGGTTTGATGAGATATAAGCATAATGCATTCTTTTAAAAAACCTGAAAGCACAGCATAATTTTTATACTGTGTAAAAGGTAAATAATTTTCCGAGTACTAATTATTTTAAGTGACCTTATTTTAGAAACTTACCCCAACACACCAGAAAGTACCTAAAGAGTTCTGTAACTGTGTGACTATGCTTGCCTTTGAAATGTGCCTTACAGACCTAAAATGAATGCTCCCTTCTGGAATTCCTCATTCTAACCTAAAGCAAAAGGCTTTTCTTCAAAATGAAGTCAAACAGGAAGAATTTCAACAAAGGACAGTCTAACATAGGTTTGAATTCTATGTGTAAAATATCCAGTTTTTTTTATATTGGAAAATATAGTTTATTTAGAAAGTAAATTGAAAAGTGAGAGGGAGAGAGAAGATTCACTTCCCCAGGGTAGGGGAAGGGACCAAAGCTTAGGAAAACATGGTGGCCATAGCTCAATGAACACATGGCCTGGTCAGTGCTTAACAAAAATAATGGCCAATATCCAGTTCTTAAGTTGGCCAAACTCATATAATATCACATTCCTAATAATCCACAGAGTTTTACTTTTTTCCTTAGAAAAAGCAAAATAAATTAGAGAGGTTATGGGAAAATCAAACCATTCTTACCACTGAGATAAAAACAAAGGCCAGCATAAAAAAAGAAGCTTTTTTCTCTTTTTCTTTAGAGAAATTTGAAAATATTAAAGTGTGTCACATTGATTCAAGTCTTATAGCTGAAAGCTACTGAGAGTGTTATTTTACTTCCATAATACTATGAACCTAAGCTTGGAAAAATGTCTCCTGATTTTCACATTTTGCTACCTTATTTGCTGTAATTATTACAGGTAAAAATTTCCTCATGCACAAATATAGAGTATTGCCTTGTCTTCTTAAAATCGTGCACATTTAAAAAATTATCACTTATTCAAAGAGCTCTGATTACCTGTCATTAAATCTCCCAAATTCCTATTTCAATCTTACATTGCACATTTCAACTACCTTTACCTTTCAACAGATCTAAATATTTTACATGAAATTTTTGAGTTCCAACACAAGAGAGATTAATGGAAATAAGTAAGAACGGCATGCAATGGCTTTTCTAGAGAACTCAGACCAGAAACGGTGACAACAACTCCAAAATGCCTGACATCTTCTTTGTTCATTCTTTCCACTGAGATTCCTTTCCCTTTCTTTTCCTCTCTTTTCCCAGGAATACTGGGGAAACCAGGGCTCATGTCATATTTCTCAATTCTCCTACATGGCCTTGAAGCAAGGTCAGAGGATGTGGGTGTAGCTGCAGCCAATTATACCAACTCAGGCTGAAAGTTCTGCTCATGTTAGCACTGGATAACTCCAGCTTCCACATGGCCCAGACAGACAGCTTCTGGCCGGGGAGACATGGTCAAGAGGTTTGACATGACTCCTGTGTTTTTTCTAGCTTTATACAACTTTTTTTTTTTTTTTGAGTTGGAGTCTCACTTCATCGCCCAGTCTGGAGTGCATTGGCACGCTCAAAGCAACTACATCCTCTAGCTGCTGGACTCCGGCGATCCTTCTGCCTCAGCCTTCCAAGTAGCTGGAACTACAGGCACATGCTACCTGGTTAATCTTTGATTTATTATAGAGATGAGGTCTTGCCAAGTTGCCAGGGGTTGGTGTCGAACTCGCGGACTCAGGCGATCCACTCGCCTCAGCCTCCCAAAGTGATAGGATTACAGGCTGAGCCACCGAGCCTAGCCCCTTATACAACTCTTGCACGACAGTTTTGCACAATGATAACAGCAAGACAGTAAACTCAAAGGTAGGGACTGTATGGGTGTGCCCCCACCCTTCCTGTGCATCTGTCAGCATTCAGCACAGCCTGACATACCGATGTCGTACCCTGAATGACTACGCGTACACTGACAACACAGTTTCAAAGAACATTAACCATATGGAAGCAGCTTCAGCATCTCTTTCAAGACATGTAGGAAGGATAAATGTGACAGGAAATGGCACCATGGACTACTTCTGTATACCACTTGACTTGCCCTGGTAGAAAATAGTGAGACCAGAATGTAAACATGTCAAAGAGACAAGCCAGGCTGTCCCAAAAGTCATCAGAAGGCCACAGCTCAGTAACTCACAGACAATTCTCAATGGTTCTGGCTTTACCTACCTGTCTTAAATCCAGAGTGATTGTGACCCAGTGATATTCTCTCCCGTTTTGAATACTGGGGCTTTGCCACCAGTTATTGGTGCCATCGATCGCATTTGAAATTGGATGGCGTTCTGTTAAAAGAAAACAAAAACATAAATTGCTCTCAGCTCTTGTTTTAAATTTTTTAAGTTCTAAACTGTAATGATGGCCGGACACGGTGGCTTATATCTGTAATCCCAGCACTTTGGGAGGCCGAGGAGGGAGGATTGCTTGAGCTCAGGAGTTCAAGACTGGCCTAGGCAACATAGCAAAGAACTAATCTCTAAAAAAAAAATCAAAAAATTAGCCAGGCATAGTGGTATGTGCCTATAGTCCAAGCTACTCAGGAGGCTGAGGTGGAAAGATGGCCTGAGTCCAGGAGTTTGAGGCTGCAGTGAGCTGTGATTGTACCAATGCACACCAGCCTTGGTGACAGAGTGAGACCTCGACTCAAAAATAAATAAAAATAGTTTTAAAAATCTGTAATGCTAATGGAAATGAATAGCAGTGAAGGTAAACATGATGTTTGTGGCTTCCTAATAGAGGTCTCTGTCATCATTTCAGAAGGTCTACATTCCCAGGGAACTTTGGAATAGAAGGACCAATACTTGCCTCTGGGGTTCGTGCTGTTGCCATCACAGATCCGGCACTGTGGGTTTCGCACGGGGCGACCGGGCACGTGCTCCACAAGTTTGCAGAACATCTCGGGCCCCTTCTCACCACAGGTGGCATTGGTGCTAATGTGAGCATTGCTGGCAAGATTGAGAATGGCAGGAAACAGGCCTGAAAGTCAAAATTCACCACATCAGCTGAACCAGTTGCAATCAATAGAGTGAGACTATGGCATCCCACTTCGAGGTGAAAGACGAGGAGATGGTAAGTTTGTGTGCTGAGTAAAGGACACCTTACGCAAAAGCAGGGTGGTTTCGTTAATTCAAAATTCTAGGACAGGCAAGACTCATCTGTGAGAAAAACTTAACACTGGTTACAGGGGGTAATGACTGCCTGTGGAGGGACATGAGAGAACTCTCTTACTGTGTTCTGTATCTTGATAAAGGTTTGGGTTTCACAGGCAGAGGCAACTGTGAACAAAAAATCAGAATGAGTACACCTAAGATTTTGTGTAATTTGTGTATTTTAGTACGTGTACATTTTACCTCAAAGAAAAAAATCATAAACCAATGCTTAAATGTTTAGGAATGAAGTGCACTTATGCCTTTAACTCATTTTGAAATACATTTTAAAAATTCAGCTAGCTTGATGAATAGAGAGATGGCTACATGGACAGATAGTTGGTAAAGAAAGTAGAGTGAATGTTAATTGTAGGCTTTGTGTGGGAGGAGAGATGCTTACACTATAGCCTTTCCACTTTCCTGATTGAACTTTCTATAATAAAATGTTAGGAAAAGAGGCTTGACAGCAAGTTTCAAGTGATCCAGTACATATATTTACCAAGGAAATTCAAACACCTTTCACTTGAAAGGAGGGCATTTATTCTCTCCTCACCTGGTTCCAGTTGCCTCTGGTAGAACTTACAAGGTCTTTTCTATAATTGCCTAATTTTTTCCCTCTCTTTCTTTACTGCCTATCTTCTTTGGTGAATAAAACTTTAGAACACAAAGATCCAATTTTCAAAATTCTTTTAAGTTTGGTATTAATCTTTGCTTTTGTACAGTGCCTTTGTCTCAACTGATTTTATCTCCAAGCAGCTGGGATCAGTACCCAGTCCCAACTATTCAGAAGACAATTTCTGTATGACTGTGAGAAAAATTCCTCCAATATGTTCTTTAGAGGTTTAATTTTATCTTGGCAAAAGAAGATAATGGCAGTGAAGATTCATAAAGATACAGAAACGATGGTGAACATGATGTTGAGGACATATTCTCCATTAATGGACAATGTGAACTGAGGGTGACTGGGAGAATCTTAGCTTAGTGGGGTTTTTCTAACTTATTGGAACTTGATCTTCAAAGATCACAGACGATATTTTCTTTGTAAAGAATATATGGCAACACTATTTCTGAAATGCTTATTTTTCAGTGAAATTTGAATAGCACAGTATAATTTTAGTAACATGAATTCATGTCTTCATTTTTATGTTTTATGTGCTGCCTAATATTTTCAATGATCTTTTCTACTATAAATAATTTAAATTATTAAAGCAAAAAATGGTTACTTTCGTAAAATTTGCTACATTGTAAAACTTACCATGCACCTATGTAGCAAAGTAATTGTTCAAGAACTTTTCACATAAAATAGAACTACCAGCTAGGCACAGTGGTTCAAGCCTGTATTTCCAGTACTTTGGAAGGCTGAGGCAGGAGGATTACTTGAGCCCAGGAGTTTGAGACCAGGTCTAGGCAACATAGTAGACCCCATCTCATTAAAATAAATAAGTTAGTTAAAAAATAAACTTAAAAAATAAAAAAGAACTAGCTATTAGTAGTTTTACTTGACTAGAAGGACCCTATTAAATCAATCTATCCTGGGCCACTGAGAAAAAGCAGCTCACACCTCATGAACATAAACTTAACATTTTTTTGGTGAATAATATCTGAATTGTAGTAAACAGCATCAGTAGTTCTTTGTACTAGATAAGTTTCAAAGAACTTCCATTTTCCCTTACCTTTCTGGTCTGCTAAATATACTTTCAATAAAAAGAAAGACAAATTGCTTCATTAGCATGGCTATGGAAAAAAAAAAAAACTTTAAATAATTATTTCGTAAAAATTCCAGGTTGTCTTCCACTACGACTAAATCTTTCTTCTCAAATAAACTAGTATTTGAAAAAAAAAATCTTTACTAAAAATTGTGCCTTACATTTGACATTTGCTCTCTCTCTTCAAAGTTATAGAGTAACGACTATCGCTTGTTGCACAGGACTACATCTGTTAGATGAAAGAAATACATACTAGAGCAAGCATGTTTTAAAAAGAATTTTTAAAAAGTCCCTCAGGTTGCTGGATCATTTCAAAGACTGGAGAAATATTTCAATAAAGGGAAACGACTTGAACACTGGGGAGGAGGAGGGAAGGGAAATCAAAGCGTGAGAAGGGGCACTGGGATCAAGACTACCAACAGAAAAGTTTGATTCTACACATAAAAACCAAAGACAGAATAAGGGCTCATGTGTAACAGAGTTTCCCCATTACTTCGTCATGCGCTTAATAAATCAGACTATACCTTTGTTGAGAGACATTATTTACTTTAGTTACTATTACTATGATACTAATTTGCACCTCTTCTCCCATTCGGGACACACAATGGAATCATTCCTCTATCTGTGGATTTAACCAGTTGCTAAAGAATTTATAATGCCCAACTCCATCATGCGTGAAATAAATTCCTTCTCATTCACCAGTGGTTTTTGTTTTTCAACCCCTTTACTCACATCCTGAGTATACTTGGCCCTCTTAATTGCATTTCAGGACCATGTTAACCTACTGGAAATTTCCCTTATTAACATGAAGTGAAAAATTGCCACCAAGCTGACAGACAACAATGCTATATGTCATTAGTACGGTTTTCACCTCAGACACTTCCAGAGAGTTTAATAATTCATTTTTAGGGGTTTGGGGTTTTTTCCCATCAGAATGTATTTTCCCTGTCTTAAAAAAAAGGACCCAAAAGATTAACTAGGCTTAAGGTCTATCACACCAAATTGTTCATCAATATTTTTCAAATGATTCAGAGTCAATGGTTTAGAGATTTACTTCATTTGTACGTAAGAGAAGTATGAGCTTTTTTCCCCCCATTTTGGAAAAAAAAATTTTGAGTTCTACAGAATGTTCTATTTGCCTAATCCATACTCACAATCAATGGGATGTTCTGAAATGAAAATGATTTGCAATTCTTAGCTGGAGGATCTGGGGTAATATTTTCGGATCATTTTTCACTGAATGAAATACAGGAGAATGAATATTTTATATGGTTGAATAACCAAGGTGGCTTCTGGTGTCAGGATTTTTTATTTTGAAGAACAATCAAAACTACTTATTCAATCTATGGAGAAATCTGAAAAAAAAGTAGGAATTTAAATGTCTAAACTAGGAAACCTGTGGTGTTTTTTTTTTAAACACTCGAATTCATTTTGTTTGACATTTTCCCAACTCTCACTTCCCTAATTTTACCCACTCACCCAATACACTGTCTACAAGTTGATTAGAGAAGTCTGCTATTAGAAAGAAACTACCCTGTTTTTCAGTTCTTTTTGAGTCTGGGCTGTTGTCTGACTGAACAATAAAAACAGCACCTCTAACAACTACAAATAGCATTATTTTTTTTAAATTTTCTTTTGAGTTGGAGTCTCACTCTGTTGCCCAGACTGGAGTGCAGTGGCCGCTCCCGACCACCTCAGCCTTGACCTGCTGGGCTCCGGCGATCCTTCCACCTCAGCCTTCCGAGTAGCCGGAATTACAGGCGCGCGTTACCATGCCCGGCTAATTTTTTGATTTATTGCAGAGATGAGGTCTCACCAAGTTGCCCAGGCGGGTCTCGAACCCGCGGGCTCAGGCAATCCACTCAACTCAGCCTCCCAAAGGCGCGGGATTACAGGCTGAGCCACCGAGCCCAGCTTACAAATAGCATTATTCAGAGAAAAATCAGGGCAGTATTTAATAATATTCCAGGATAATAATATCAAGGTATTCTAATAACAGTATTCCAGGTTAATATTACAGTATTCTAATGACATAAATATTCAGAGAATGTATGAAGTCCTATTCAGTAAACTATCCATGGCTTAACCACATGAGTCAGAAAAGCAAGTGATGTTTGATTTGCTCAGTAAATTTTAACGGGAATCTCTTTGGTGCAAAACACTCTACCTGGCAACTCCTGGGACATTAAGAGGACTGACCAAGCTCTTCTTCACCCCAACACTCTCCAATCAATAGGAAAAGAGAGACATCTACTCACAGATGCTGGTAAGTATAATCAAAATGCAGCAATGTTTAAGAGAACCAGTTAAGCATAATCCAGGCAGAAATATAAGGGCATGTGCTCAGACATGGATGGCTCTTAGACCTTTTCCTGGGTCCTCTGAATGCTCTTTAGATTAATTTCAATTTCCTTCCCTTTTGCACCTTTCATAGATTCATTCACATCCTACTCATCCTTCAAGCCAAGCCCAAATCTTTCCTGAATTCCAGGCTAATGTCAATGTCCTTCTTACCTTAAGTCAGCATGCCCCACTCCATCAGTAATCATTCATATAGAAGATCATTAGTTTACTGACCTGTCTCCCCCACTCTCTTTCTCCATCAAATAAAAACACTTGGCTAATCTGTGAGTTCTTTCAGGGCAGCAACCCTGTCTTACTTGCTCTGGGTCAGTATCTGCCCCAAGTGAATGCTCGGTAATGCCTGAATGAAAGAATAAATGAAGACAGGAATGTTCTCCCACTGACAGGTCACTCACAGAGGCACAGGAAACATCTAGACTCTTATCCTGGTACCACCATTAACTGACTATATGTCTTTGAGAAGTCAACCTCTCAGCCTCTATTTCCTCAGCTATTAAATGGGTACCTTTGTAAGTCCTTTTTTCTGAGGCACCATGATTCTAAAATTTTACTTTAATAGACAACTAGGTAAATTTGCCCACCATTCTTTTTCATTATTTGGAAAATATGATAGGAAAAACTTTTCTCCATTCAATATGCAGAATGGGAAGGGGAAGTAATTTGATAATTCTTCAGTCTTCTTGTATAAAAGAAGCAAATAGAAATACAAAACTAAATTATTATTGTTTGCTCCTTTGTGCTTTATATTGAAGTTGACCCTTTTATTTAAAAAAGGGATTCCATAAAATGTCCTTTATTCTCTTTAGAAAGACAACAAACTTGTCATCATGAGTGGAATTTTTGGTAGAAGTAACATGTCCTTGTTGAGAAAGATCAGGTAAAATTTAAGTTTATCAAGCCTTTCTTTACATCTATCACTTCGTAGGGTTAACTTCCAATTCTTTTTTTTTTTTTTTTTTTTTTTGAGTTGGAGTTTCACTCTGTTGCCTAGGCTGTAGTGCAGTGCCATGCTTACAGCTACCACAGCCTTGACCTGCTGGGCTCAGGTGGTCCTTCCGCCTCAGCCCTCCAAGTAGGTGGGACTACAGATGCACGCCACCACACCCAGCTAAGTTTTTTATTTATTGTAGAGAGGAGGTCTCACCAAGTTGCCCAGGCTGGTCTTGACCCTTTGGGCTCAGGCAATCCTCTCTCCTCAGTCTCTCAAAGTGCTGGGATTACAGACGTGAGCCACTGCACCTGGCTCCAATTCTTAAGAATGAGATACTACCTCCCTTTCAGCACAGAAATGAACAAATAAGGTGCAGAACACAGGCAGGAAAGTCGTCCTCCAGAACTCCCACCTTAAGATGACTTGGAAGAGAAACAGATGATGTTCCCCACCACCTTGACTTGGAAAGCCAGAGAACTCTCGGAAGATGGCTTTTCTTTTGTTGATGCCTATGGCAAGAATTCTTCCTTCCTCTCGCCTACTCCCCAGGGAAGTGTGTAAGTCTACATTGTGTGAAATTATTTGAAAACTCTAAGTTCTATTTAGAATGACATATTTAGTGTCTCACCTGCGTGTGCAGGCCTAAAATGGAGATGTTAAATCTAATTATGTGTTTTATATCAACTCTATTTAAATCCAAACTCTATTTAATCACTAGAACCAATGAAAGACAGTGTTGGTGACGAGTAAGAATACAGGCTTTTGCATTGGGCAGCCCAGAGTTTGAATTCCAGGTCTACCAGTTGCCCATAGTGTGGCCTAGGCTGAGGGGTTTTGCCTCTCAGTCTCCTTATTTGAGCAATGAGAAGAATAGTACCCAGGTATTTTTGAAAGCAATATGTGAGATAATGTGGTTGAAAGGGCTTTAGCCAATATATTAAAAGCTCAATAAATAGCTATTGTTATATTTTCATATTACCAGTAGAGATCACTAACACAAATTTCCTCAAATACGAGACTTTCAAGGCTATAGTTCATATATTTGAACCTCTGTTTCTCTAGTTAAGTTTTAGATGAATGAGTGGGTTTGCATTTAGGGGCCATTGGGTATGAAAAGCACCTACCAAGCAGGCACAGTGGCTCATGCCTGCAAGCCCAGCCCTTGGGAGGCAGAGGCGAGAGGATTTCCTGAGTCCACGGGTTCGAGACCAACTTGAACAAGATGGCGAGACCTCGTCTCTACAATAAATCAAAAAATTAGCTGGGCGTGGTGGCACATGCCTGCAGTCCCAGGTACTTGGAAGGGTGAGGTGGAAGGATCGACTGAACCCAGCAGGTTGAGGCTGCGGTGGCCGTGAACATGCCATTGCCCTTCAGTCTGGGTGACAGAGAGAGACTCTAACTCAAAAAAAAGAAAACAAAAAGGAAAAAGAAAAGCACCTACCTTGAAATAGAAGAAACACACTCAGCCCAGAGGGATGTGCACCATGGGAGAGACATGAAAGAAAGGTAGACTTCGGCTTAATTCACAGACTCTCCAAGGCATGGACTCACCACACAGGATACTGTGCAAGAAGGCTTCTTCAATTCACACTTTCTCTTTTATTTCCTTCCCTGCCCCACCCCTTCCTTTGTGTTTCTCCCCTCCTCCCTACCTTCTTTTTTCTCTTTTATCTTATTGCTTTTTCTGCTATTGCCTTTGCAACATTGTAGCATTGAGTCCTTTAGGTTAACTGCACATTTGTAAATTACAATTTCCTTTCATTGTCATGGGAGCAGACAAAGGAAAGATATTTCTGAGGAGGTAACATTTGACTAGTTACCTAAAAAAAGAGAAAAGCTAGCCATGCAAGATAGTGCTGTATTTTAATATACTTGGTTTTCTTTGTAATATATATTTTTTATACATTTAAAAATATGCTTGCCATCACCATCTATCCCTGAGAAAGGGTTCATCATCTCTCACCTAGATGACTTTTACACCTTTTCTTCCTCTCTCCAGTTTTATCTCTCTTCAATGTATACCAGCCTCTTCTATTAAATGCACATTTGACAAAAGTCACTCCTCTCCTTAAATGTCTTCCAAGACTCCCCCAAGACAATTTAAGCTCAAACTGCTTAATAAATTTTCAAGCATCAAAAAAAAAAAAAAATCAGAAAAAGAAATGCTGAGAATAGGTCCATAAGCTTTGCAAACGGGTCTGTTGGCACCAAAAAGGTCAACAGCCCTAGCAGGGAAGGTGATTCAACTAAACAGCAAGGAGTTAATGGCAGAGGACGAAGTCAAGGAGGTGGTGAAGGTGACCACTGGTCTCCTTTCTTCACATTTTCTTCCATGAGCTTACGTACCCCTAGACAAAGGTGGACAGGAGGCCCAAGACCTTCTGCCCCAGGTAGATGGTGAAGGCGAGTGGGAGGGGCTGTGGTCAAAGACTTCAGGTGAAGTCCTCAATGACCTGACTGAGTCTGCAGGGGGCAGCAGTTGCCTCCAGCTCTGGTCCTCAATGCATCCAAGTTGCCTGAGCCAGAGGGTGAGATGCCTTGAGGAAATGAAGTAAAACTTTTATAATACCTTGAAAGCCCCTCCCTCTGGGGAATAAAATCACTCCCATAAAATGTAACTATTATCTGATTTCTTGCATTTGTCATGCCAGTATATTTTTAGGGACATCCTCTCTGTGAAAGCTGAGGACTGTGGGCACATAGGAAAGCAGGGAGGGGTCAGGAGGAAGGAAGGTTTAAGCTGAAATTATTTACAGCAGGGCATCCCGGATGGCTCCAGAGACTATTTAAAAGCTGTGGCAAAATTCACCTTCACTCAAACTTTTTTTTCCCCCAGAAAACAGTACAAATATACCAATCTAGTATGAAGTAGATGCGTTTGGAAATTAAACATAAATGAAACTGTGTTTTCTCACTGCCTGCCTTCCTGATACTCCATATTTCCCTTATCTCTACTTCTGATTGATCAGCAATCAGCAGTGGCTTCTTAGAGTGAGAACTTCCTTACGTCCCTCTCCCTGTCCCTTTCCCGTGGGAAAACTGCCACCAACATTTTCTCGTAACAGGAGTATGCCATTTAAAGAAATTCTGTTTCAAGTTACTTGTGATAAATTAAAAATTTAGTCACAACTAAATGAAACTCTTTTGTATATCAAAGGCCAATATTCTCAAGATGTTTAAGTACTAAAACATCAAAGCGAAGGCTTAAATATGTAAAGTACATAAAAAAAGTCTTGCTCGCTTAATGTAAAACAGGACTTTTATTTCCAACAGGAACTATTCAGAATTACCAGATAGTTCATTTCTTACACAAATAAAGAAATCTCTAACACTTGGGAGCATTTTAAAAAGTGAACGTGACTTGAGTCACCTCTAAGCATGGAGTCCTTTGGCTTGACATAAGTACTGAGGAGCGAATCTCTCTCCCACCCTCTTTCCCTTTCCCTTCAAAAGCAAATACTTGGGTTTTGGACTAAACCATTGATGGCTATTAGTCTAGAGATTCTACTGGGTAAGCACCAGGGTCCTTTCCAACATGGGACCAAAAAAATGGGGGTGGGGTTGGTGGTTAAAAAAAAAAAAAGGAAGGGAGATACTGAAACAATGAAGAAGAAAGAAAGAAAAATAGAGTCAGGGACAAAAGGAAGGAAGGGAGAAAAGAAGGAGGGAAGGAAGGAGAAAAGAAAAGAAAGAACCACACACAAACAGGGAAAAGGCAACTCCAAACTCCTGGGAGTCTGACATTTAACACAGTTAATTTTTTTTTCTTTCTCACGTGGGAAGAAGAGGAGAAGTTTAATCTCAAAAAACAAGAGGGAGTGGTGAGCAAAGGGACTTAGCAGGGTTGTGCTCAGAGTTTCATTTCCATAGCAATGCTCTCAAGGTGTCCTTGACAAAGACAGAGGTTTTTACTGAGAGATAAACACGTGATATGAGCAAGTTAGGCACAAATATTGTAGAAAAACAGTGCATTACCGCTAGCCACTGACTTCTCCCATGATGGTTTGTTGAATACTCATATTCATCGACACCATAGTTTCTGATCTGATATACAAGTTTAGTGGCAGAAAAAAAAAAAACTAATAATCCGTTCATTGTGAAATGGTGTTCACCTTTGTTGCCAAGGGCAATAATTTAAATATTCTACCCGATCAGAATCAGATTGTACAACAGGCAAAACACAAAAGCACCACCACATACACACATATCTAAACCTTTGGATGATTCCTATTGTCTTGAGAAAGTCACTGCTCCTCCCTCCTTTCAAATCCTCACAGAAGAAAGTCAAAAAACAAGTGCAGCCTTTAAGTTAAATATTGACAATGCGGTTGGATTAAAATGTATTTATGTTAGATGTTGCTAATATCATGTAAAATGCTTGCAATGTGTATATCCTTTATTTGAATACTTAAAGCATCAATTAGTTCAACATCTTCTAATCAGCCCAAACATTTCCAAATGCCATAAATATTTCTACAGACCCTTAAAGGTCTTTGTGGTCTCCCCTCTTTCTTCTGCCACTTCTGCGCTCTATCATACAGAGTTTACTTGCCTGTACTTTTAACTGTGAGCATCTCTGGTTATCCCAGGGCTATGTTGATGACTGCTTCCCGGGTGTGTGACTGTGCAGTCACCCTTGGACTAGTGCTCTGCTGCAAATGTCTGAGATGACCAATGACTGAAACAAGGGGTCCCCCATACTTTCATTTTGAACTGGCTGTTAAACGGTGTAACCGGTCCTGTGGACGTTTCAATAGGGAATTGTCCCAGGACCAATGTCTCTGATCAAATAATTTGACATTGGAAATGTCAAAAGCTTCATCCCCTCTAGCTGAACACCAGCACAGTGACCCTAAGGTGACTGGATCCACCAGATTAGAGCTATTTTTATTGCAGTACATATCTCCAGGGACATCTTACAAACGAAGAAATCATTTCAGATATCTTTCACCTTATGCACCAACAGTAGACAAATATATTTAACAACTAGAATTAACATTCCAACCACAGGTACACAGAGTTCGATTATCTTGGTGTCATTCTCACTAGAATTGAAAATACTGTATTGATTGCCTGAGACCGCGGCTTGAGACCAGCCTGGGCAACTTGATGAGACCTCATCTCTACAATAAATCAAAAAATTACCTGGGCGTGGTAGCGCGTGCCTGTAGTTCTGGCTACTTGGAAGGCTGAGGCGGAGGGATTGCTGGAGCCCAGAGGGTCGACGCTGGGGTGACCGTGAGCATGCCACTGCACTCCAGCCTGGGCGATGGAGTGAGACTCCAACTCAAAAAAAAATATATACTGTATCTTCTTAGTCCTAGTACCATTTTTTCTCCTGAAATTAGGCTGCTTCTTTATAAAGACATATACATTTAATGTGACCATGTTCCTCTTTTTCAAAAAGCTGCTATTAGATTAAGGATATATCTAACAATTGTATTCACTGTCTCTAATTCTTTGTCTCACATCCTCTCTTCATGCAGCTCCAACTGGGAATCTGTTCTTTATAACATCTAAAAATGCTCTTTCTGGCCGGGTGCAGTGGCTTCACGCCTATAATCCCAGCACTTTGAGAGGCCGAGGTCAGAGGATTGCCTGAGCCCACGGGTTCGAGACAAGCCTGGGCAACTTGGCGAGACCACATCTCTACACTAAATAAATTTTAAAAATAGTCAGGTGTGGTGGCACATGCCTGTAGTTCCAGCTACTTGGAAGGCTGAGACGGAAGGATCACCTGAGCCCAGCAGGTCAAGGCTGCGGTAGCCATGAGCATGCTACTGCACTCCAGCCTGGGTGACAGAGTGAGACTCCAACTTAAAAAAAAATGCTCTTTTCAAGATCTCCATCGACTTCCATCTTGCCAAACCCAACAAGTAGTTCACCTTCAGCTTATGTGATCTCATAGTAGCTATTGTAAAAAAATGATCTTTCATTCTTGAACTCTATTTCTTTTGGTCTCTATACTACACAAGTAATGCTACATACATACATCACAAATCAAAGAGACTCCCAGTTTTCCTCAAGCAAACTGTCAGTCTCTTCTGCTGATGGTCCTGAAAGTCTTCACATGACTTGATTTCCTATGGAGAGCAGCACACTGCTCAATCGCCACACAGGCTCACTCACCATACAGGTTCACTCAACACACAGGTTCAGTCACCACACAGACTCAATCACCACACAGGCGCTCTCACCACCCAGGTTCAGTCGCCACACAGGCCCACTCACTGCACAGACTTACTCACCACACAGACTCAGTCGCCACACAGGCCCACTCACCACACAGATTCACTCACCGCACAGATTCACTCACTACACAGACTCACTCACCACACAGGCTCAGTCACCACACAGGCTCACTCACCACCCAGGCTCAGTTACCACACAGGCCTACTCACCACACAGACTCATTTATCACCCAGGTTCAGTCACCACACAGGCACACTTGCCACACAGGCCCAGTCGCCACGCAGGCTCAGTCACCACACAGGCTCAGTCACCACACGGGCTCTCCCACCACTCAGGCTCAGTCACCACACAGGCCCACTCACCACACAGACTCAGTCGCCACACAGGCTCATTCACCACACAGGCCCACTCCCCACATAGGCTCACCCAACACACAGACCCACTCACCACACAGGCTCACTCACCACCCAGGCTCGGTCACCACACAGCCCCACTCGCCACACAGGCCCACTCGCCACATAGATGCAGTCACCACACAGGCTCAGTCACCACACAAGCTCACTCACTACAAAGGCTCAGTCACTGCACAGGCTCACTCACCACACAGGCTCAGTCACCACACAAATGCAGTCTCAGGGTGAAACAAGGGTAGTAATATACTTTCCCAAAAAGCTGTCTCCAAAAGTGGATTGAGAGGCAGAGACCTGGGTCTTCCACTCTGTGTACCCAATACGTATTTGTTCAATATTGTAAATCCTGACTTAGATATTAATATAAAAAGACATCAAATGCGGGAGAAGTCTGGGTAAGTACACTGAGTCATGGAATTAATGGAATATCAACAGTGACCAAAATGAAACCAGAGTAAGTTTAATAAGGATAAATGCAGTGCCTTTCACCTTTTTCACCCACCATCTCCCTGCAAGCAAAGGTGAAATAGATGTTACAGTTCTTTTGTGATAGGTATACACAATATGAAAACAGTGCTATTAAAAATATTAATATGATGGAGGTTGATTAACAATACTATACTATTAAAGACAAAGGAAGATGATCCTTAGTATCCACACATTTGATAAATATGATTTAGTTATGCACAGGTCGAGAATGATGGCTGGGCTTTGCAGACTTTAAGGTGTCCCAATCCCCTGGGGACTGGTTTCCATGCAGATTCCGATTCAGTCTGGGAGGGGGCTGGATGCTTCATGTCTAATGAGCTCCCAGGGGATGCTGCTTTGAGTTCAAGAAAGTAAATGACCTCTTGGGCTGTTTTTCAGCTCGGACACTCTGGGTTTAGCCAATTCAGCCAAGCTTGGCATAAGATCATCAGACTGACAAGCAAGACCTCACTTCTTTCAGCAGTTTTGTCACTATTTAACTAGAATTCCAGATTCCCCGTTCTGCATTCAAGTCTTGAAGACCAATGGCAACTATTTTTAGAGACAATGTGGTGCTGCTCCAGCTCAAGGTTTTTGGCTTACTGTCAAGAGGAAAAAATTCAAGGGTTCCAAAATTAAAGGCAAAATATACAGACAAGTTCAACTGAGCATCATTCAGGGAAATCTATCAAAACAAACCAATGCAGTTTAGGCCCCATGCACACAGGCAGTGCTTACACCCTGAACCATAAATTTCTCAGGCTTTTCATCCAAAAAGAATAAAATACTTAGAAAAAAATTAGCAAAATAAATTCAAGACCAATACACTGAAAAATCACAAAAATTTTCTGAAATTAAAGAAGATCTAAATGAATGAAGAGATTTTTTTTTTTATTCATACACAAGAACATTCAATATTGTTAGAAGGCATTTCCCCCACTCCCATCTTTATTTTTTATTTGAAAGTAGGATTATTAAGAGA